CCGAGTGTTCCCCCCCCCCTCCCCCCCAGCCAAACATTTTCACTCATTCTCCAACTAAGATGATCGCCTTAACACTGCTTAAAGTGATTTCAGCACTTCCATTTTATTACAGGTCAGTGTTCCAGAGAGTCAGAAGAAGAAAGGTTATTAATAGTAGCAGGAAGAATACAACAAATCTACTAGCACTTCATGTGTAAGCAGTATGTTAATATTAGGTTGCCCCATTCCAAGTGTTGAGTACTAAGATGTGACCTCAAGAAAATTTGTGGTCAGTGCAATTAAGCACTAGGGAATTGAAACAGTTTTTTTTTTTTTTATTTAGTTTCCGATTAGGAAATAGTCATCTTTTGTGACTCATGGTGGGGATTTTGGAGGGGTTTTTTGGTTTGTTTTTTTTTTTCTGACAGTTGTGGAAAGTTGGGTTTGGCCCTGTAATTTTTATATTCTGTCTCTTAAGAACTGTAACTTGGGACACAAAAAGAGATGCTGTGAAGGAACTGCCATAGTTCAAGAAGTTCTAGGATCTCAGCTGAAAGATGCTGAATGTGTCTCATCAACCAAGTAGCTGTTCTTGAAAAACAGGTATCAGATAGCATGATTAGTCAAAGCATCATTTTCATATTTAAGCCCATAAAACTTTTCAACTTCCTTGAGTGATAACGGAGTTTCAGAACACTGGTGAGTCACAGAAATGGATTAAGTGTATTGTTCCCAACCTTTCTGTAGCCAAGGCCCACAGCTGCCACTTCAGCCATGCTGGATCTAAGTGCATGGCAGAGTTAATGGGCACAACAGGGATCCCCTCTCTGCCTCATGCTGAGAGTTAATACACCTCAGTAATAGGGAACCTTTTGGTTTAAGTGAGCCCAATTTTCTCTGTGCATCGCTCTACAAGAGCATTCCCCAAGTTGGGTGCAGCCTTTTGGCTGAGATGCAGTAAACTTAAGCTACAGAAGCTTTGCTGCAGGCATCCTCTGTGCCTCTGCCTTCTCTTGTGTCTTCTGTCATGGCTCCCAGTAATAGAAAAAGAGCTTTTGCAAGAACTTGGTCAGAAGAATTCCAGCTTGGTAACATGTAAATATAGGGCTCAAGCAGATGAGAACGTGGAATTAACAGCTCCAACAGACATAGATGACTTTACTATGAACTCCTCAGTTCCTAGCAGTACCAAAGCTGTCGCTCCAATGGATAGGTTCAAGTGTTTATAGCGCTGCTTAATTAAGTCCAGCAAAACCAGGGAAACCTAGTAGAAACATGTCAAGTGGAGGAAAAAAAAAAAAAAAAAAAACAACCTACACACGAGTAATCCCTCTTTGTCCTCACTTCTAATGTGCACCTTTGTTTCTGTCTTTTCCCTGCAAGGGATTCCTCATGGATTCATTTTAGGATTCTTGTCATCTTAGAACTGTCTGACTTCAACGTGCTGTACACGTAGAGCTAAACGGAAGTTTGCTGCGTGTTTGGTGTGCCTGTGCATGGTGTGGTGGGAGGGAATGAGGGTGTTTATTCTGTCTCCATTGCACTTACACAGGTGCAATCTATATGAAAACAGTTTCTTCCCTTTTCTTCCCCTTTTTCATGTACTTAATTTGGTTACTAGGGGTTTCGTGCTGCTCGGGACAAACACCCTGCCTATCCCTACCCCACCCTCCTGCTAGCGAGGGTGGAAGTGGCAGCCCTTGAATCCCAATACTACACTGCATTAAGGTTGAGTGTAATATTAACAATTTCTGCTTGATTCAGGAAGGATGTCCTGCCATCTTAAAGATGCCTCTCCCTTCCTGTTTTTAGGCTACAGATGCAACGAGATCCCTCTTGGATGTCTTTGGATGTCTTGGATGTCCTAGAATTACTGGGGCTACGGATAGGATGCATGTTCCCCAGCAAACTCTCTAGGTATCATCTGTCTATTAAGATATTTAGAATAGTGCAATTCTCGATACTCATAAAGGTAACAGGGCAGCTGAAGAACTTTTATTTAAAAGGCCAAGCGCCAATGAAATTTGGGTGTCACTTCAGTGTGGGCAATGGGAACTTGAAACTGTATGAGATAGTCTCACACCTTTTCCTTCATTAATGGATCTAGCCTGTTCTTGTCTGCTAAGGTTCCTTCCAGGAAGGGGAGTATTTTCTCTAAACAGGTGGGACTAGCTCTTAGACCAGTTGCTTCATTTCAGCTAGTGGATGCAAAGTGCTGGTGAAACTCTGAAAACCCTAGAGTGGATGGAGAGAGATGTTTAGCCTCAAAGAGGCAGTGAGCATTAAGTGCACTTTTCTGACAACAGCTGAGAATTGAAGGAAAAAAAAAAAAGAGAATTACTTATGAAAACAAATCACTGTAGCTTGGTAGTAGAAAAGGTAAGCTTTGCTCCAGCCAAGAAAGGGTTTTTGTTATTAAGATGACTTTTTTTTTTTTTTTTTTTAATAGCTGTGAACTGTGACGGGAAATTTGTGGCAAGAATACAGCAGCGGCAGGAAGCGTGTGTAGCTGCAGGGGAAGACTCCTCAGATGTTTAACTTTCACCCTAAAAAGCCCATTCAGCATCATAGTACACTTGGCTTTTGCAAAGAGAACGTTTTAATGATGTCCTCTTGAATGGAGCAGATATTGCCCTTCTGTGCATGCCCTGCAGTCATCCATTCGAGCCTGATATTGTAGAATTACAGAAATGGGATGGAGCACAGAGATGGCTAATGCACAAGGGTGTGACCTTTTCTGGGACGCCTCTGCTGGTGTCGCTGATGACAGTAGCAGAGTGGAGGGTTGTCCGTGAGAAGATGCCCAGTACGCCGGTGCTCTGTGGCATCACTGGGAGCAGGGTCAGGGTCACTGGGAGCAGCGAGCTGGTGAGTGGGCTCCATCTGGAAGCTCGGAAAGCAGTGGTGAAACAAACATCTGGTAAACCAGAGATGCTATTGCATGAGATTTATCCATGACTGGCACATCTCTGAGAAGGCTGTTCGGGATGGACCTAGGCAGCTGTGACTTTGTGAGCCACACACTGTGGTGTCAGTATTTGGGAACCCATGTCTTAGGACGCTTTTGGGGACTTAGTAGAACTTAGAGGCCTTTTGCAGTAGAGTTGGTTTTGTGGATGCTGGGACACTTGCTGTGGAGACAAGAACTGAAAAACCAGCAGATGCACCTGTATCTGTGAAGGCCTTGGTTTCGTGTTGTCACTGCTATGAGTGACAGATGCTGGGGTCTGGAGAGCATCTGTTTTCACTGCTGTTGATGCCTTTGGGAATGAGGGATTGAAAAAGTCCATTTGGGTGTCTTTGGGAGTCTTGTTTGTAGGCGCAATGACTTGGGGTCATTGCAGTGCTGTGACATCATATGTTTTGGGTACATCTTTGTGGAGGCTGATTTCTATAACTGAGCTGAGATTTGGGACTTTCAGTCAGGCTTGCCAGTGTCTGTGGAGGTGCCAGTTTCCAGGTATTTATGTAGGAATCCTTCACAGTAACTTGCCATTGTGGTGGATACCGCTCATCTCACTCCAACAGCCCTGTCTTCTACAGTTATGTTGGCACGTCCAAAGCTTTCCTGTAAAAAATGATTCGTTTCAGAAAGCAGGCTTGTAAGATGTATGCTAGAAATGGCCTTAATAGCAGGTAGCTGTGCACACTTTTAGTTTTCCTGCAGTGATACTGTGTGGGTGCTCTACATTTAATTGAGCACCAGTGAAGAGGCTGCTGGATGTATCAGCATAGTAATGCCCAAGGATGCCAAGGAACAGATACTGGGAATGTTGGAGCGATGGGGTTGCCAGGATCGTTAGTTTCAGCATCTGACAGGTGTTGGTGAAAGTATGTCTGAGTGGCAGTTTCCGTGAAGGGTGTGCGGTGAGGTTTGGTGTGCTGTCCCCTCAGGGTGTGGTCAGGAGGGCGCTGGTGTCAAAGACCTACGTGTCTTGGGGACTTACGCCTCTAGTTGGCTTTCCCAATTGTTCTGAGTCACCTGCCTGCTGGCCTCCCCTTAGCCTTTTCCTACAGCTGGGTAAGCCTCCTGAGCGCAGG